TTGTCCAAGTACCTGTTGATGGATCATACAACTCAGCGCTATTTAAATAATTATTACTATCGGTTCCACCAGTAACTAATACTTTTCCGTTAGATAATACAGATGCTGTGTGCCAAGCTCGTGGACTAATCATATCGTAAGTACTTGTCCAAATACCTGTTGATGAATCATACAGTTCAGCACTATATAAAGCACTACCATTCCATCCACCAGTAACTAATACCTTTCCATTCGATAATACTGATGCTGTATGAAAATATCTTGCATTAGTCATGTTACCAGTAGTTGTCCAAGTACTTGTTGATGGATCATACAGTTCAGCACTATTTAAAAAATTACTATTCACTCCACTAGTAACTAATACTTTCCCATTTAATAATACAGATTCTGCATGCCCATATCGTGAATCAGTCATATTGGCAGTAGAAAACCATCCTAAAAATTATATTTTTATATATTTAGACTATACAACATTATACAACCAAACAATCAACATTCGCTACTCTTCTACAGTATTTTTCATAATCCTAAAAATGGCAGTCTTCAATATGTCTGTTTTATATCACTTCAAACTTGTGTAGTTCGAAAATAGTAGTCAAATGTATTATACAAATTCTCTTCAAATATTCTTATGACATCATCAGTTTTCTATATTATCTATTTCCCCTATTATCTTAATCAAATATATAAAAGATATCTGTCTCAAATTGACCACTGTAATAATTACACTGACTGATTTGTTTACGGATTATCTATAAGTTTTACAAGTTTTGATCGAAAGATAGTCAATAGAATGAAAAATATGAACTTTGCATCAAGTCTTTCACAGTTCTCTGGATATCACAATCGAAATAGGGAATTATTCACAGTATTTCTTTTTATAACAATCAATATATAGGTATGAAAAGATCTATATAACATTCACTATTGGAACTGATATAAACTATGAACTAGCAAAAGAATGAGTAATTAATCTCAAAGTTTCTGATAATTCAATATCAAATCACTACTGTTTCTTTATTAAGTTACACAAATTCTATTATTTAGTTATCTTCTACTCTATTCTCAGTGATATTTCATATCTATAATCGATATAACAACAATTTTTCATTAATCTACTATCTACGTTCTCTTGTGTGATAAGCAATATCATAGAAAAAAAATTTAAAAATAGTACAGATATAATATGAAAGATGAATCCAGAGATCAAGATAGTATTTAATATCTGATTTATAGTTCACTCAATCATCTCATCAATCAAGACAAAATAAATGAGATAATTATTGATAACAGAATGATAATCTTAGATTCTCTATCAGAACTGATTCACCTTCACATATAATTTGCACCTAAATTTTATCTCAAATGACTCATCTATTTTACAATAAGTTTAATATTGATGATGGACAATGTCTCTTAAACTACACCTAACATACCGATAAACTAATATTATTAGAACATTAACAGCAACAGAAAAGAGAGGAATAACTAAAAATATAAAACTAAGCAAAATATAAATTTTATTTGAAATGGTCTATAATACCGATTTGTATACTTCAATCTATTCATTTATATTCTCTTATTATTTAATACAACAAATGTAAACGTAAAAGCATATTATAAAAGTTTGATCTACAAAATTATTTCAGCTCAGATGCAAAACACAAACGATATTAATTTATTATGAAACTATAATCTCTTATCCTACCAACTAAACTATATATGAACTTCTATTAATGTGTCATTCACGAACTAAACTGAAAACTTCAATATACTTCAGTTCTTCATCACTCTTACGTTTCTCTTGTTGGTTAACAATGAATATCACAAATCTATATTAGTCGATCTATTACATCATTTTTCACGACAAGAAAAATATCACTTGATAGAGGTTCTGTGCAAATAAATTATATTGTATCTATAACTATGACTAAAATTAATTGTTCTAGTCGAATGTGATAAAGTCTACAATGTAAATAATATGTATTCGTACCTGTTTTACACATTTGTGTTGCTAACAATGGTAAACATACTGCTTGTGGTGAACAACATGAATTAATAACGCACACTGAAGTATTTGATAAACATGCTTGTGTAACATTACTACATGTTTCTAATATTGAACATAAAATACCAGGTGCACAATAACTAATATTATTTATTGTTCGATAATCATAACAAGGTGTCGATGATAAAAGACAATTATTATTATCATTCAAGCTTGTATTACATTGTTGTAAAGAACAACTTGATGTTGGATTCCAAGCTGAATGAGATGATGAAGATAATGTAAACTGAATAGAGGCATTATTTTCACTGCATGAGTAATCAGGCAGTTGTGTAGTTTGACCTATAGAATTCATTTATATTGTGATAGAGTCAAACGAAACGAGATAATCTTACAAGCCTCCTACAGGTGAAAGAGATATGATGAAAAATAAGCTAATGATAGATCGCATTAATTTTTATATGATCGATCAAGAAAACAAAGTAAACATAGTAACAAATGATTTTTCTTTACTCTTTTTTTCTATTATTTCTCACTTTTCTCTTTTAGTCGAACGAACATAAAACTGTTTGTGTCAACGCTCGTTCGTGTTCTTGAGATCAAAAATAGACTCCTTTTATTTTGACTAGTTTATGCCTTTACATATTTTGAAAAGTTGAGTTTGTGAATGTTTGTCACAGACAGACTCTAAAAAGCATTTATGATTTTCATTTCATCAACGCTTCATTTCATGATTTATTTTTATTTTTATCAAAGACTGTTCTGTTTTGTTATTTCATTACAACTACAACCATAACATTTCTTTAATCGAAGTTTAAGACATCATCGGTTATATGAAGTTGTTTGATCAACGAAGGTAAAAGAGAACATAACTTGAACAGAGATATATTTTATAAACTGCCTATAAAAATCTTTTTATTATACAGAACTCTTCTAAAGTAAATAAAAAGGTTGGGTACTATTTTAATGTTTTTTTCGATATTTCTCTAACCTTATTTATCAGATGGCTGTTATTTTTGAAAAAACATTATTCTTGTATAGAGCAAAACAGGGTGTAGGTATATAAAAAGAATATCCATACCCCACACCCTCACCCTGACTCGCACCCCCGCACCAAATAAAGTGAAAAGTGAAGCATTGTTTTAAAGACAAGTGTTCTTACTAGTTGCAGTTGTAGTTGTTGTAGTTGTTGTAGATGTTGTAGTTGTAGTTGTTGTTGTTGTTGTTGTTGTTGTTGAAGGCAAAACGTTGAATGTCCAGTATGTTGGACTACTAACTGGTGCAGATTCAGCATCTACAAGATTTCATTATTTAGCCAATATTTCTCGTTCAATCGATATGATCAATAGACAGTCACTTACGACAATAAAAACTTCCACTTACTACACCTAAAGTGATAAATAATGATATGTAGGATTAGAAAACAATATATGTGTAGAAGTTTATACAAACCACTATCGAATGTGACATAATAGGAATGTCCAGGAACCCATGGTGCAATTGGGAACTGAATGATGACTGAAGAGTCTGTGTATGTTACTTCTGGTGCCCAAGCACAATCAAAACTTTGAACAACTGCGTTGACCGTGGCGTCATTGAAGTAAATAAATGTACCATTACGATGTTGGACAGACCCATAGGGCGGAGTAATGAATATGTTGGCTAAGAAGTATAAATACATTTAAATCAATAAATAAAAATGATAATTTGAAGAATAAATATATATATATTACCTTGAATTCGAAAGACGGTTTGATTTTGAAGGATAATGCCGACTGGTGTAGCTGAGCTTTGAATGAGATTAACTGCGTCAAGACTAACTAAGAATGTAATACACCATGGATCGGATGGTAGACTACTATTATCGATTGCAGCAGCACAAAAGCCTTGAACTATAGATTGTGTTGCTGTGGGTGTCCATGTCAATGTCATTGTCCATATACCTGACATATTATATTTCAAAATGAAAACTTTGCATCTACTAACAAGCTATTATCAACTACATACCAGAACTTGGATTACTAATATTGCTATGTGTCATCCCAATAGGTGAACTAGTGACAATATCAACAATTGTTTGTCCAGGACAGTATGTTTGTACAATTACAGTTTCATTCAGCTGAACACCTAAAATATAGATTTTAAATATTAGTAAAGTAAAAGATAACAGTTGTACTTACCAACTGGAGCTCCGATGCAAGCTAAAGATAATTAAATAGATAAAAGAAAGTATTATTAAATGTGTGAGTTTAGTTTAGAATAGAATACATATTATACCTCTATTGGGACGGGCACCAGTAATTGAAGGACGTTGTGCACATGCATTAACGGAAGCATTGTATGCATAGAATAAGAATTGTACTGGAACTGAACTCATTGGACTCGTGGAGCTGGGGGTATAATAATCTTCGATTTGCAGTGCACAAGCATAATACAGATTAGCAGTTGGTAGAATGAAACTTAATGTGCAGCTGGATCCGTCGAGTGTAGTCCCAGAAGGTAGTCCACTACAGACACCTCCACATTCATCAAAACGATTGTAATTGGTTGTAGAATTCGCATTGGACCAACGACATTGCAAATAATCAGTACTATCAATATCTGCCATTTGTACAATATGAACTATTGGTACACCTCTTTGGTAAGATACTACTGGTAATGTAGTTGTAACAGGACTGGAATTGATATAACCATCAGGTCTCCGGGCTAAATTCAGACGACTGACAATTGACCATGAAGTTCCACTGCCAATATAGAGTGTAGGCATCCATACACCTGAAGGAAAACCAATTGTAATCGATGTATTCGAAAGCATTGTCAAAGTATTGTAGCGTTCGCCACTCCATGATTGAACGATCGGGTTTGAGTCACAATCTGTAGTTATCATAACGGTTGAAAGTCCATTTGAAGGATAGTTAGAACTTGTGCAGTTTGCTAAACAAGTCATATAAGAGTTGACTGGAATAAGTGATTGAGCAGTGACATTCGCTTCCGTGCAGAAAGGTGGAATAAAAGGACTCGATTGTCGATTCCAAAAATACCTTTGATGTATAAGAATTTGTGTATTGTTACCCGTTGGTATATTGTCTAATGGACGCCTAAGAAGAAGAAGAATGCAAAAAGTAAAATATGGAAGATTGAATGAAAGAACAAACGTTAATTGGGTATATTTACCATGAGATGATACCACCACGAAAATGTGTTCCATCGAGCACAAAACATAGTGTAGACAAAGTGAAAAGGACAAAGTGCAAAACCTGCACCATGTTGTTAGTATTCAACTGTTGTTTCTTCTTTGTATAATGAAATACACGATCACGCAGCAAACTGAGGCTCAGCCTTTATGTTTCTAAAGTGAGTATAAAATGAATTTTTTTTCCTCTTTTATACGTATGTGTGTTTGTTTCGAGGATCTTTCAGAGAAATTCATTGTTGGTTGCCCACTGAGTGTTTGTTCCTGAGGCGCAAAAAAAAAGAAACTTTAATGCATTATTTCTCGACCTTGATAGAAAAAAAATCTGAATGGGATTTAGATGGTAACCAAGATACAAATAATTTTGAATTTTGTTGTTATTGTATTGTTTTGATGTTGTGAAAAGATAGAGGAGAGTGTGAGCGTAATTTAATGTAATTTTCTGACACATATCCATGTAAAGACATGAAAACCATGCACTATTCGCAAAATTATATCAACAGAAAATGCTCTATCGAGCCTTCAGACAGAGATGAAAACAAAAAATAAGTTAAATTTAGATTTTCTCGAGTTTATTATAAAACTGAAGGTCTTAGAAAAAATTCTAAGATTTGGTAGAATGTCAGGCATGTTTTCAAATTTTTGTGATTAGATTCTTTAAACTATTGACTGAAAAGTCTTCTTGTTTCTATAAGAAAACATACCATATTAATGTCTTTTTATTAATTTAAAAAAAAATAAATTTTGTTTTGATGCATTTAATTGAAACCATGCATAATTTTTAAGAGTGTAAATTAAAAATTGATCAAGGCTGACGCTAAATGCTTTCTTTATATGTTAAGCCAAAGAAATTCTTCAAGATATATAAACTATCGCGATGTTAGTATATATCAAAAACGTCTAAAAAACTGTCGCAATCAATATATTGAATGAAGAAAGATGAAAACAGTTTTGATAAGAAAAACAATTGTTACAAATGACTTACCGTTTTCTTTTTCTTTCTTTCTCTTTCGCTCTGTTTTACTGTTATTCATATGTGTTCTTTATGTTCTACTATTGACGTACTTTTGTAACCGATACCTGTTATGTATGAATAAGAAAAATAATTGTTGTAATTCTTCTTATTGTTCATTATCTTAAATAATGATGAACAAGTTTCAGAAGGAATTCTTTCTTGGTTTGTTTCTCTGACTAATAAATACTTTATTTTCTTTTAAATAGAATATTCATGATTTCATGTCATTTGTTGCTACATTTTTAACTATAACGTCAACAAAAATCGTCGATGAAAAATGCATCAAGAACTGCGTAGTAATGCATACGATTAGGATTATTTTATTTACTGAGAAGGGGGTATCGGCGTGTATGTGAGATGAATGAAAGTGTGAATATTTTTGGCTGTAATATTAATGATCACATCCACTCCATCCTCACTCACCCCTTTTTTTCGTTACTTCCTACATTTCGATTTTAGTTGAAAGAGGATAAAACGATTTCTCTCAATACTTGTCTGTGGCCTTGAAATCAAAAATAGATTCCTTTTATTTTAAATTGTTTATTCATTTAAATGTATTGAAATGTTTATTTTTGTAAATGTCTGCTTCCGAAAAAATAAACTCTTCTATTTCTATAATTTTCATTCTGATCAAAGACTCTTTTCTCCTGTTCTTTCATCACATTTTAAATTGTAATATTTTTTCAATCGAAGTTTAAAACATTATCAGTTATGTGATTTTGTTTTGATTAACGACAGTAAAAGAAAGCATCAGGGGAATAGATTCATGTTTACTTCATTATTTCTCTACCAAAATTCATTTATTGCACACATTTGTTAGAAAGTAAATAAGAGATTTAGTTAGTATTTTCATTATATTTTGAGAAATATTATTCTTGCGCAGAGTAAAAAATATTTTAGATAAAACCATCATATATGAAATTAATTTAGTTATTATTAGTAATATTGGTTTCTAGAAAAAGAGTTTTTTTCTTGATTCTTCAGATTTATTATTATGGAAAAATAAAATATAGTTCTTTATCTTTATATTTAGAAACAGCAAAGTTCTTGTCTAAAAGATAAAAAGTCTATTTTATGAAAAAAATGAAGTATGATCTTGTGATGATTAATATTGGTTTATTATGATTCTGTTTTCGTGATTCTATAAAGTATCATAAGAATCGTAAATATTGAAAAATGAATATGATGATAATATCAAATCTATACAAAATAGAATATTTGTTCAATTGATGTATTACCAATGGAGAGTATGTATGAGGAATTAGAAATATAGATGAAAATTGACAACTATCAATCTAGTAAAAGCTATTCCTGATTTTAATTAACAAATTTGAAGAGAATGCAATTAAAAATATCAACTCGTATTTATTGAGGGTGTGCATGCAGATGAATAATGGATATCCATACCTACACCCATCATCAAGATGAATAAATCGATCATTTACAGTATTTTTATATTACATACAGGTCTATTTATGAATATAAGACGAGAACATTTGCGGATACTTTTTTTTGTGACTTTAATCCAGCATGGTAGAGTCTAATTAATTGATTTTGAAGGTAAAACAAAACAAAATTTCAAATGGTTCAACTTTTCGCGTTTATGAGCCTTTCTTCTACTTGAACTTACTTCAAGTAGTGATCTAGTTTTATTTATTTTTTTGAGGCGCTTTTTTAAACTCGAATTTATTATTTTTGTTCATATTCATTTCATAAACAATGTCTGATATAAAGATAGGTATTAATGGATTTGGTCGTATCGGTCGACTTGTACTTCGATGTGCCCTTGAAAAGGGTGTTAAAGTTATTGCTATAAATGGTAAGTAATGAATATACATATACTAATTTAAAAAAAACAAACTCTAAATCCTATGTAGATCCATTCATTCCTGTAGATTATATGGTCTACATGTTTAAATATGATTCTACACATGGACGTTTTAAAGGTGAATTATCAAATAAAGATAATAAATTTATTATTGACGGAAAACCAATTGCTGTTTATACTGAGTTAGATTTCAAATGTTTCTATTTTATGAATCTCTCGATTTTATATTTCTAGAAAAGAACCATCAAAAATTCCATGGGGTCAATTAGGTGTTGATTATGTCGTTGAATCAACTGGTGTATTTACAACAATTGATAAATGTCAAGCACATATTCAAGGTGGTGCAAAAAAAGTTATTATTACTGCACCATCAGCTGATGCACCTATGTATGTCATGGGTGTTAATGAAGATAAGTATACAAGCAAAGATTCAATTATTTCAAATGCATCATGTACAACAAATTGTCTTGCTCCATTAGCAAAAATTATACATGAAAAATATGGTATTATTGAAGGACTTTTGACAACCGTACATTCATATACAGCAACACAAAAAACAGTTGATGGTCCATCTAATAAGGTTTTTATATCTTAAGAAAAAAACAAATCATGATGGATATTTTTAGGATTGGCGAGGTGGTCGTGGTGCTGCTCAAAATATAATTCCATCATCAACTGGTGCTGCTAAAGCAGTTTGTTGATTTAATTTAAATTTCTCAATAATTTTCGTGGAAATTATTTATTAGGTTGGTAAAGTTATTCCATCTCTCAATGGTAAATTAACTGGTATATCTTTTCGAGTACCAACACCGGATGTCTCTGTCATTGATCTAACTTGTCGTCTTGAAAAATCTGTAAGAAACTTTTTTTATTTTCTTTATAAAACTATTCGATTTGTCAGGCAAAATATGAAGATATTTGTAATACAATTAAAACTGCTTGTAATACGAATGAATTAAAAACTATTCTAAGTTACACTGATGAAGAAGTTGTTTCATCAGATTTTATTGGTAGTACATATTCATCAATATTTGATATTAAAGCAGGTTTATCTCTCAATGATAATTTTGTTAAACTTATATCTTGGTATGATAATGAATATGGTTATAGTCATCGAGTTATTGATTTAATTAAATATATGGCTAAAATCGATTCGAAAACATCTTCATCAAATCAACAACGTCGTTCACGTCCATCATCACGTAGTCAATCAAAAAATAATTAATATTTTGCTATATTTATTAACTGAAAAAATAAGTCGAATCAAGTACACTATTTAACTGAAATGTGCCACGTTGTGGTACACGTCGAAGTGTATCATTTAGTAGTTTCATTGTTTGTTTTTGACTATCATCAACACGAGCATATTCACTAGAAGAAAAAAAAATGAATAATTAGATGAATAAATTGTATTTAAGATCTTTTTTTACCTGGATTTAAATTCATATTTCGAAAGAAAATCTCGTGAAAGTATTTCAAGTAATGGTTCTTTATGTAATGAAACGAATTGTTCTCGACAAAAATGATTTAATCGATCAACATCACATGCATGTGTCCAAAACGAATCATGAACAGAAACAAATGTAATACCATTTCGTGCACATTGTAATGCTGTCATCATCATATGACATGAATCAAGAGAATGAACAAAATTCGGCGGAAATGCATTCTTTTGTTTGATATGATTTGGACGACTAGAATAAGGAGAAAAAATATTTGATAGATTTAAATAAACAAGTAACGCTCGTCCAAGGACTCGCTTGACTCTTTCTCGTAGAAATGCATTTTCTTCACATTTACTGGAAAAACAAACGAAACTGTAAAAAATTGATTTCGATGTTTTTTTTTGACCCTGCGGACACACAAGTAAGCAAACAATTTATGTCTATTGGACTCTTCTCTACGAGAAAGAGAATATGAAATACTTACGCAAAACTACTGAAATTGTCATAAATATCTTTGCCTTTTTGCTAAAAATATTGGAAATAAATATAAATTCAATGAATATAAAAAACAACTAACTCGTATTTTAATTTCTCGATAGTATGGTTGAACAATAGGTAGATTCAACGGTGTATTCCATTCTACAGCTGAACCACGTATGCGTGAAATTAATCCAGCACAATCCGTAAACCAATCCTATATTTAAAATTACGATTAAAAATGATTTTTCTTATAAAAAAAATGAATGTACCTGAATTTTTCTTGTTTCTCGAAATAATTCTCGTAAACTAAGAAATGTTTTTTGTGCTAAATAATTACTTGCTTCTGGAACGAATTCATTTGGAAATAGATCAATATCACGTAATTGTCGACTTATTTGTTGTTTAGCACCAAATAATGTTACACCATAATTTGTTGTCATTATTGTTTGTTTAATAACTTTACGTTTAACAAAACCGTCAAGAATTTTAGCTATTTGAACGCCATTATCAGCATCTTGTTTACGTTCTTGTTCAACTTTATCAACAACAACACTATAAACATCTTGTGGTAAATCACTTGGTTTAAGATTGACTGATGCTGCACCTTTATCATCAAGACCCATGGCTGCATAATGTTGTAAAACATTACATGAACCATCCTAAAAGAAAATTTATAATAAAACAAAATATTTCAATTGATTCAATAAATACTTGATGAACAGGAAAATGAGAAATATATTTTGTATGATCTGGCGAACGTAATGCACGTGCTATTTCCATACAACAAGCAAGTGTTTGCCATGGTTCTTCGGATTTTGCCCACCATTGACGACCCTAAATAGAATTTCAAATAAATTTCAAAAGGCAAAAAAAGGTTTCACATACATCTAAAGGTCGATCAGCTGAATCGAGTATATCATCCATAATTTCATCAGCATAATTTGCACGTTCATCAATAGATGATTTTTTCTTTAAATCAGTTAAATTAACTAAATGAATTTTTAAACGTCGAAGACCATCAGGACCTAATGGTTTGCCTTCAGCGAATAAAATAATACTACGTGCAACATCACTGCCTAAATGATTGAAATGTGGTGGAACTGGATACACACGACCACGAAAATCAAGATTATGCGGAAACCAAAAGATTTCATCACGAAACTAAAATAAATAAATAATTTCTAATAAAATTCAAGTAATTCACATACATGATTAGCAATTGATAAACGATAAAGTTCATAGCACCATAAAGAAAACATTTCAGATTTCATCTTTTTTGCATAAGCTATTGCCATTTCTCTTCGTTTTCGTTCATCAACGGATAAACCCTTTGTTCAAAAATAAAATAATTTTAACATCTTATTTTTTGTTTTCGATAAAAATACTTTTTCAATTGGAAGTGGTTCAACAACGTTAGTATTGTCAACTGAAACAGGTACAGATAATTGACGACTACCACCACGTTGAAAAATATCAATTAGTAGATCAAGAACATTTTTATTAATTTTCCATGGACAACTATTTAATACATTAACTGAATCAAGTACACCACCAATTTTTTCTATCGCTAGAGATCGAAGACGGGAATCTTGTTCTCGAGCTGAAAAAGGTAATCGAACTAAGTCCGTATGATTTAATAGATAGCCGCCTGTTGAACATGATAACCATGGAAGTGGAGGAACAAGAGCTGGTAATTCACTACAATCAAATTCGAGTTCAGTTTGAGGAATATGTGAAAAGAAATGTAGAACAGTTGGATGAACCTAAAGACAAACAAAAGAAAACGCATCGCAATAAGATTTTATAAAAAAAAACATACTTTGAGTTGTTTTTCAGTAAATTTACCCGGAGTTCGATAAACAATATAAAAAAGTGAATCTTCACCTCTAGAAAATAATAATAATAATACCGAACAAAATTCTAAATTCTTTATTGATTACTTTTTCTTTTCTATTTGACGTTTTTGCGTAAGTAATGGTACTTGAAGTTTTAGATGTTTTAACATAACACCATAGAGAAATTCTCCAATCTGTAATATTTGTGTATATGACCATGGTCGATCACTACGATCCTAAATAATTTTAAATAAGATCTCCTACATTCTTTTATTTTTTTCTAAATACCATATAAGCAAATTTATCTTTAACAATTTCATTCCATTTTTCTCTTTCATTAACAATAAAACGATCATTTGTTACAACATGACTCATATATTCATTATATACAAGACGTAATTTATCAATAAATCCACTTTTTTGTCGAACTGTACATAGATATTTTTGATATACTTGTTTTCCAAGTCCTATACAAAGACTCGTAAATGGTAGTGAATAAAAATCGGATCCATAAAAATGTCGATCTGCTTCCTATGTGTATACATGAAATAAAAATGTTTAAATAAAATCAAATCTTACTTTTGACATTAAATCAACATAATCATGAACATCGAATATTTCAAGAAATGGAATTATATCTAATTTCAAATCTTTTTCTATTGTTGTTTTTTTTAATACTTCAAGTTCAGTTGCAAATCCTAGCGTTAATTGATTTTGAAGATCTGTTTTAAAATTGTCATGTCTTGCTAACTATACCAAAAAATTATGAAAATATCAAATCAGGAAACAAAAAAAATACAAACCAATTTTGGATCGATGGTTTTTAATGAATTAATCGATTGTACTTTAGCTTTTTGATTTATTTCAACATCTATTTGATCATTTAATTTACTAATTAAATCGACTTTTTTCCACCATGGTTCTATTTGTATCGATTGATCTTCCTCCAAAAAAAAATAAGAAAAGAAAAACAACAAGACACAGAGAATTAGAATAGTTCATTTCATTGATAATAGAGAATGCAAATATCTATGAAATAATAGGATTCAGGATTTTCGCCGATACACGTGTCAATCTATTTCATAGCTCATGATTAGGCATGTGCGGTGTCGGCGTAAATACTGACATCACACATCCCTACTCGCAATGAATTATACAGAGACAATCAATGAATTTGTACAATTCATATTGATCTAGGAGAAGCAGTGGCCTTCATGAGTAGTGGCGTAACCAGGATTTTGCCTTAGGAGAGCTCGAAAGTTTCTAAGAAGAGCTTCGCTCCCCGTAGCTCCCTCGATGGTTATGTCACTATTCACGAGACTTAAGAGACTTCATCGTTACTTCATATACTAAGAGAAAGTTGATGATGGGAACTTACGATGGTTGGAGGTTGTTGTTTGTATATATGATTCAATAGTTTATTATTAACAGTTGATGGACGAATTGGAATATCAAAATCTGGTCGAAATGTTTTCAAGACTTTTAAAATTCTTTGTATATCTTCATGATTGAGACAATCGAGATTAAATATATCAACAACTCGAAAACCCTATAAAAATATTTCAAAAGAATTTTTCATATTGATAATAATCTTTTCTCTTATACTTGATTTTCAAGATCGAGTATAATTCTTCGAGCTATACTTGAATCAAATAAATCCATATTACCAAGACAACATAATACAGCTGCATAAGATTCAAGTGTTGGTTTTACTTGGTATTTACGCATTTTTTCGAATAGTTTTTGTAATGCTACAAGATTACCCTGAAAAAAAACAAGAAGTTGAATATTTTATCTTATTAGATAAAAATATGAAACAAACCTTTTCTGCATAAGCAAAAAAAAATGTATTATAAACATGAATATTTGATACATAACGCCATGATAAACGTTTCACTGAATGTCTTTTTTCTTGATCACTTAAGAGATCATCAAGTAATCGACGAACTTTATTTAACTAAACATAATTAAAAATCGATTTGAAGTAAAAAAAAACAATATTCAACAAACTTTTCCATTATATATCGATACATCAACATAAGATTGTAACATACGATTAAATTCATTATGTTTATGCATAAAACTTAATTGTTCATCGGTATATTTATGCATACGACGTACTCTAGTAGAATGTAAACTACTTAATAATTCATTCAAAGCTTTATCATCATCAGTAAAAAATAATTCTTCAATTGGTGATGAAATTAATAATTCATTCATTTGATGATCGTCTTGTTCTTCTTCGACAAGTAGAGTTTCATCATATAAACTACTTGATGTAGAAAGTGATGGTTGATTTTTTGTAGATGTAGTAAGATGAAGTTTTTGACTTAATTCAGTTATACGATTTGGTGGAATTGGAAGCGGTTGAGATGTAACTGAAAAATAACATTCAATTTACTAATATCAACTAGGATCACACGATGTTTGTATTGTAAAACATGAGACAGTTACTCAAGAAACTCGTATCGTTCATAAGAGATTTTAATGAGGAAAATTTTGTTTATCGGCTTCTCCGAGCGTAACGCGATGATGTTTTGGCTACAGTTTTATCAGCTTTTCTCAACAACTAGGTAGTTTAGCAGGCTCATCGTTCCAGTGAAAGATGTACTTCTATCATTCCCACAATCTGTGAAAATTACAGTAAAAATATACGACGAAACGCGATGATGAATTAGGGACAAAAATTGAGGGTGCTCCAGTTTTTGCTTGTTTTTCTATCAGCGGGTAATAGAAAACACTTCGGTCTATTCAACGAAAGGAAAAAAAATCTCTAAAGATCTTTTTATGGAGGGTAAATTTTTTGTCACATTAACGTAACGCGATCATGAAAGTCAGAAAATTAAGTACTGTTTTTCTCTATGAGGGTCTTTTAAGAACTTGATAGATGTGAGTCTGATCCGCTGAGTTGACGCGTTACGCGTTTTAGCCGTTATTTAATCTTAATAAGAACTAGATAAATTTATATTTACTTTTTTTTTCTTTCTTCTTTTTTTCTTTGACTTTACTGGGTTTTGGTTGAGCTAATTTAATAGGCTAAAAAAAATATGAATACAATAACGAGTAAATAATTTATATAGTTTACTTGTTCATCTTGATCTGTTTTTGATTCAATATTACTATTACTTTGTTTTTTACGAGAATTAGTCGATCGAGATCGAGTTGGTCGAGGTGTACGAGTCGATTGTAATTGTGATGAACGATGACCAAGCACTAAGAAAATAGAAAAAATATTTTTCATACTTTAAACAATATAAAAATCTACCCTCAAGAAGTTCATAATGTGGTGCAGCTATTTCAAAACGATGATGATGGTGATCATCATCAATTTCATGATGAATTGGTAATGTTTCTGCGGATAAAGGACGATATAATACTTAACAAAAAATAAAATTTTTTCAATGCTTTCAATTAACTATGATGTAATTATTTTTACCAGTTAGTTGACGTGTTTTTCTAATCAATGTATTAAACAAAACCGGACGAGAATAAATAACTCTTAACATGAAAGAATAATCTTTCCAAACAAAAAATGCAAACAAACAAAATAATGTCTGAAAAACAAAAATCAATGATTCAATATGCTTTTCTTTACTTCTATTTCATAAATTAACACAAAATTTATATTTATTCATAAAAAATAAAGTAATATATAGTTCTATTCTAATCTTCCATAGATATATTCATTTGTCACTCAGTTGTACATTATCCATCGATTTGTTGAAGACAAAATCAAGCTCACGTTCTTTGAATTTTAATTTACGTTCATATCTAGCAAAATTACAAAAATATTATGTTTCAATAAATATCTAATAAACTTACTGAATATCATATGATTGTAATACATTTTTCTTGTTATAATTGAAGATATTCGAAAGTATTTGACATTATTAACAGCATAGTAAAATGTACTGTACAAGTATGTTATATCGATTCTGCACTCATTGACTTACTTTGATTGATTCTATCTACGATAACTCAATAGCTAATAGATCATGGGTATGACCCAATACATTCGATAGGAATTTATACTTATCAAACGCTTAGAATATGATAAAATTTGTACTATTAACGGATAGTAATTCATTTTACATGAGACTTACTTTTGAATGGATAATATTAATAACGAACAAGAACATAAATGAAAAAAACCTTCGTTACTACTGATAATGTCAATAGATGTCGTATTTAATCGTATGTTTTACTACGAATATAATATATTATACATCATTCGTTTAAATCAAAGAATAAATATTTTCAAAAATGAGATTATTGTTGTTGTTCTCTGATTAAATTTCTTATGTATTCGTTTCAACAGGTATTTCGTATATTAGTTTACAAAAGAATGTGATATATTATTTGAAAGTATACATAGCAACGGGAGTAAGATTATTAAATACATTTGTACGATTTCATAACATAAAAGAATTCTATTGATACATAGCAACTTTTCGTACAGTAATTAGTTGAATATAAATTTTTATATTGCAAATAAAATACAAAAAACAGCTAATTATTAAGTATTAAGAGAACTTTTACGCATAAATACAAGTCCTGTTTCTTTTTCAATTCGTCGTGATTGTTTACTTGTCGTTGTTGATGATTTTTTGCTTTTATGTTGACGAGTTTCACTTGAAGGTCGATGCTAAAAGATAATCACTTAGAATTTATTTTCTTATTTAATTCAATAGCTTTACTTTTGATTGTAGTCGTTTCTCTTCCATAGATCGTAATGTATTAATAAGTCTAGCAATTTCATGCCGACATTCATCTAATTCAGATTCACGTTTTTCTCGTTTTAATCTTTCGTATGTTAATTGAGCATCGATTTCTTCGATTTTCCTAAAGAATGAAAAATAAAAAATCTGAAAAAAATAATTCATTCAAATACTTTTGTAAATCTTGTTCAATTATATCTCGTTTATTATCATCTTCTAATTGTCCACCTAATTGACGATAATTTTTTTTTGCTATATCAAATTGCTTTTCTAATTCTTCATATCTTTGTTTTGCTCGATGACGTTCTTCTTCTTTTGGTGTTATTCGTGATCGGCTAGGTTCATTTTGATTACGATTTATATTCGTTTCAATTTTATCAGTTCCTCCACCTAGTATTTTTAAACATGCTAATTGACCAAAACGTCTTGCTACATCTTTTGGTGTTTCACCACTTTGTGTTGTCAGATCCATAGATGCACCCATATCAATTAACCATCGAAGAATATCTATATGTCCTTGACCAGCTGCTTTATGTGCTAATGTTCCTCCACGTTCATCTCGTTCATTTATATTCACAACACCTTGTTCAACTAAAAGTTTGATATGATCTAGATCTCCATTATATGCGGCAACATGTGCAGGAAAAGCGAGATCTTAAATACGAAGAAAAAATGATATGATAAAGTTAGTTTTGTTTTATACTTTCTGCTTGTTCTGGATTATCTTGTTCCCATTCAAGTGCATCAAGATATGTACAACAATTTTCTTTCGAAAATTGTTCAGCTACTGATTTTGGTGTATCACCTTGATCATTACGAGCTCCTAATATAGATGCTATATCTCGAGTAACAGAAACAATATATTTCAAACATGGTAAATGTCCTTCCATTGCAGCAAGATGAGCTAAAAGATAAACGAAAACATTTGTATAATTTACATCTCAATAGTCAATCTGAGTATATAAGTCATTAATCTTACCAGCACTATTTCCTTCATTATCAACATCATCTAATTTTGCACCCCATTTAACTAACATTTGTAAGCAACCGAGTCTTCCATGATACGCAGCTGTAAAAGCTGGTGTCCATCCATTAATATCCTGATGATTGATATCCTTTACATAAATAGATCGTAAATAATGAATATTAAAACCTAAATCTTACTGCGCCTCCACGTAAAAGTGCATGTACAACAAATGAATTTCCATGTGCACAAGCCATATGGAGACTTGTTTGATTACGACGATCACGTGTATTTAAATTAACATTATTATTAATTAAAGCCTACGAAAAAAAAATATATAGATATTTAATGAGACAAAAAAAACTTGATATCATTCTTCTTACTTGTACACATGCTTCATGTCCTCGAATAGAAGCAATATGAGTCGCTGTCCAACCTTTCGGTGTTTGTGCATCCATATCAGCATGTTGCCATAAAAGCCAGTGCATACACTTTTAACAATAAAAAATTATACTAGGAAAAGATTTTTTTGTTTCTTTCAAACCTCAAGACTTCCAGAAAAAGCTGCCCAATGTAATGGTGTAAATTTATCATCACTATGTACATCAACTTCATTAACACTTGCACCACGTCCAACAATCAATTCAAGTTCTTTGACATTATTTGCACGAATAACATCATGAATTGTTTTTGTAGCTAAATATAAACAATATCATAAAGTGTTTTCTTTTTCGTTATATCCTCTTATCTTAAGTAGGACTACACTCAAAAAAAAGTGAAAACTAAAATATTTATTTGTTTTCTTTTTTCAACTGTCTACATAAAGAAGAATTCAATGGATTACAAGAAAAATACATTAAAAGTGAAGTTATTACTTTGTTGACCTTTGCCTTGAGTCATTTTTGAAATATCTAATATTTTTATGATGGTTAATCGAATTTTGGTATATCTTCTTGTTGCTTAGTTTTAACCTTTATTGAGATGTAAGTGATTTGTTAATAAATTGTAAAATATAAACAGAATACTTTTAATGTATTTAAAAGGATTTAAATAAACAAATAAAAGTTAAGTTTATTTTTATTTCTTTTACTCTATAATAAAAATAAGAATCTTCGAGAAAATTTTTATGATTTTCAGCGGCATCTGAAACGAGCTTTACCATTGGCTGAATGAGTCACAGGACTCGATCTTGCCTTACAAGATAAAAAAAAATGCGATTCTGTATTTTGTTTGATTTCACCTTTACACGGGTTATGTTGTTTTGTTTGTGTTTAGATTGATATCTAATTTTTTACTATGGAGCAATCATCGTCAGCAGGGCCTGTACAAATAGTAACTATAACTGAAGATCACAAGTTTGTACTAGATGAAAAAAAATTAAAAAATATATTATATAATAAACGAGCACTCGGAAAAAAAGTACGTGTAAAATTAAATATTTAATTAATATTAATCATTTTTTAATAAATCTTAGATTGGACTTGTATCAATTGCAGGTGATTTCCGTAAAGGAAAATCGTTTATGCTCGATTTTTTTCTTCGTTATTTACGAGCTAAGGTAAATTTTTAATTTTTATAAAATCTAATATATATGTATACATATTTTAGGATAATAAAGAATGGCTCGGAAAAGAAAATGAACCTTTAAAAGGTTTCGATTGGCGTGGTGGAGCTACTCGCCATACAACAGGAATGCTTATGTGGAGTGAACCATTCCTTTTATCATTACCAAATGGAGAAGAAGTACAAATATCATATCTTAAAATATATTTTAAAAAAATATTTTTTTTTTCAATTAGATTGCAGTTTTCCTTATGGATACACAAGGAACATTTGATTCTAATTCAACTGTATTTGAAAATGCATTTATATTTGCATTAACATTAATGGTTAGTAGTGTAACTGTTTATAATATAATGCATAATTTACAAGAAGATAATTTACAACATTTATCATTTTTTGCTGAGTATGGTGTTTTAGCTATTGATGCATATCATACATCACCATTTCAAGTTTGTTACTTTTTTTTTTGTATTTGGAAAATGAAAATATTTGTTTATTATTAGCAATTAACATTTCTTGTACGTGATTGGCAATTTGAATATGAAACACCGTATGGTTTTAATGGTGGAGAAGAGGTGTTATCAGATCGTTTGAAAGTAAGAAAAAAAAATTAGTTTATAAAGCTTTAATGATTTAATTTGAATTAGATTCGAGAAAATCAACATCGTGATCTTGAATTAGTTCGTTCACGTTTACGTCAATGTTTTCGTAAAGTAAATTGTTTTCTTATGCCACATCCTGGTCTTAAAGTAACAAATCGAAAAGAATTCGATGGACGATTATCAGGTTAGAAGAAAAACAAAAAGTTATTTTATTAATTTTAATTTATTTTGGTTGTTTTTTAGATATCGAAACAGATTTTAAAACACAATTACAATCACTTATACCAGAAACATTTAATATTGAAAATGAAAATTTTATTAAAGAAATAAATGGAGAACAAATTACATCTACGGATTTATTTGAATACTTTAAAGTACGTAATTTTCTTTATAAAAAGAAAAGATGTTAATTTTTCGTTTCAGAGTTATTGTGCTGTATTTGCTTCGGGAATTTTACCATCACCAAAAGCTATGCTTGAAGTACGTATCCATACATATTCTAACCTTTAAAATGTATAATACCAGAAATCTTATTGATCTGTTATAATATAAAGACCGTGTAAGTAGTACGTAGTCCGGTTTTTGGTCATTTTGACGCCCTCCTCTCCCCTAAATGTTCAAATGTCAACTGTCTAGAATCCCTCTCTCCCCTGATTACGTTACAAGTGGGTAAGAGCTGGCACCCAGCACCGAAAAACACCGAACAGGTGCTGAGATGTTGAATGGGTGTTCAGCAAGTGCTCAGATACTGAATAGATGCTGAGGTGGCGAATAGGTGCTGAGCTGAGGGATAATAGCTGGCACTCAGCACCTCAGCACCTGCTCATCACCTTAGTAGCAGTTCAGCACCTCAGTACCTGTTCGATGTTTTTCGGTGCTCGTTACCGGCTCTTACCACCTTGGCTGAGGTGCTGAGCAGATACTGAATAGGTCCTAAATAGGTGCAGAGGTGCTGCGCAAGTGCTAAGGTGCTGAGTGCCAGCTATTACCCCCTTGTTACGTTATCACTAAGAATTTTTCTATGATAGACAAATTCTGTCGTACAGTCGGAAATCTGTATACGTCATCTTTGAAAGACCCTACCCTCCCTGCAGTAACGAACTGTCATTATTGACTGACCCCTCCTCTCTCTAAAGTTGATTACGTAATACTTGCATGGTCCCATATTGGTATTGTTCGGATCATATAGATTATATAATAACGTGTCAAAAAGAATTCATATCATATAGATTGTTGACAGATAGAAAAAATCCAATCATTTCCATTTTTGATGCTTAAGAATAATTATATCATATTGTTATTATTTTTTTTCTCATTATTTTCAGGCAACAGCTGAAGCTAATAATTTAGCTGCTAAATCAACAGCAAAAGAATTTTATATTCGTGCAATAGAGCAGGTAATAAAACTTCATAAATACATATAATTAAAAGCGTCTGTTCATCCAAAATTTTTTATTAAAATGAAGTGAATCGTATCTTCTAACACTGTTACAAAGGTTTATTATGTAACACATCTTAATCGATTTTTTGCTCCTTATCCCTATAGACAATTTCAGTCATATTCCCATAAGGCTTGAAAAATCAATGGATAAATAAACCTTTGCAAGAGCATCAAAAAAAATCTGACTGGTTTTATAAGTTTATGAACGCATGAAACTATATTTCGTTTTTTTCTATACAAATAAAAGCATTGTGGTGGTGATCGACCATATATTCATCCAAATCAATTAGATACTCTTCATCAAGAAGTTCGTCGACAATCAATTGAAAAATTTCGTTGTGCACGTAAAATGGGTGGTGAACAAATGTCCCAAAGTTATCTACAAGAATTAGAAAATGAAATTGCCGAACTTTACTGTAAGAGAATAAATTTCTTTCTCTACATTTAATAATTTCATTTTGATTTGTAGCGAATTATAAAAAACATAATGATTCAAAAAATGTCTTTGCATTCAGTCGTACACCAACAACATTTATATCAACAATGGTTATATGTTATTTAATCGCTGGTTTATTGGATACATTTTGGCTTGGAGGAATTAATTTTATATTTATGTTTGCATTTTGGGTTTGTTTTGCTTTATTATTTGTATGGTTATATGCAAAATATTCAGGAGAATATGCAGAAGTGGGCGAATATATCGATCATTTTGCTGATGTTGTTTGGAATAATGTAAGTTGAAGATGATATATAATATGTTACAGAGAAGAAAATTCTTTTTTTCTTCCAGGCATTTCAACCCGTGTATTCAAAATGTTTACAATCTGCAATGCGTTCTGTACTTGGACATGCGAAAACTGATTAAATACTCTTCTTCTTCTTTTTCATTAATGTTGTGTTAATAATACAGCTTGTCATACTTTTTCTCGATATTGACATTTCATGATTTGTTTGTTTTTCTTTCGTTTATTCTTGCTCGAAATTCTTTGATTTCTTCTATGACTAGTCGAGGACTAGTATATTAGGAAAAAAAAGAACCCCTTTGCTTTTTTTCAATGCTGACTGAACAGTGTCGCATAACATTTTTTTTTTCGTTCTTTTTCTTTCTTTTGCAGACAAGTGATTCACTCCCGTAGTTTGTTTTCTTTCGAGTGTGTATTTTATTTCTTCCTTTTTTTTTATACATATGATGAATATATATGAGTACGAAGCGGTTCATTCAATTCTATTTTAAATCAAGATTTAACCTAATACTAATATATTCTTTGAAATCCTATCGCATGTGTTGCATCGACAATCGATTGTGCAATGGTCACATAAGTTTAATTGAAATTTAGAACAAAAAAATATAGCATTAGTTATACTTACAAATGAAAGGTTAGAAGTTACGAATATAAACAAAAGAAAATGATTGGTTAGAATAGTATTGTACAAAATACAGGGGTGTAACCAGGGGGTGTGCACGTGCACACCCCTTGAGAAAAAAATACCTGTAGGGGAGTACGGGAAAAAAAATTCCAGGGAAAACGAAAAACTATTTTCCTGCAGCTGTGGACGCCGCTTGGTAAGTCGAGCATACTTTATTGGAATATAGTAAGGCTCAACTTTCGTATGTGTATAAAAGATAAAATGAACTTTGTAATTTCGATTCGTATTATTAATATTGCTTTAAAACTAATGAAAAATTCTTTACAGTCATGGTAATTAAACATGAAATAGTTTGATTAGATTTACACAAAACTTAAAATATATAATCGATTATAATCAATTGCTTACATTAACAATTTTCTGTGACTAACCGTAATTAAACATTGGTCATAGTCACAAAATATTTTTTGATGAAATTCGTCACACTGATGACGTCAATTTCACTTTTTCCTTTTTTTCATTATTCTCATTATTCTTAACAACCAAAACGAGATTGTGATATGTTTCTAATGACATCATGTACACAAGTATGACTTGACTCATAAAATAAACATATTTCTACCGACTGTAGATTTCAAAATTCTCAAATAAATAATGGGTATTTTTACTAATTGCAAATCTGTCAATACTTTTCTTGCTAAACATGAAATTAATTGTTTAGTATACAAATGGTCATGAGGAGAAGAACAAAAAAACTTCTCTGTTATTTTAATCATTAGAATAGATTGATGAGATATCAACAAATTGATACCATCATAATCGATTAGATTGTAATGATTTCCATCAATATTACCTTCAATCGAAGGTAATCTTTATCTCGAGGTAATGTTTATTTAATTTTTCATTGAGCTACTTGAAAATATATAATCTTGTATCTTTTTATTAGTACATTATTAGCATTCGATGTAATTATGTCCCACTAAAATATATCATGATTTTCTAATTTTAGAATTAATTTAAAAAAAAATAAGATTTATATCGTACACTAAAGCCTGACTAAAAATAAATGAACTACCGTAAAGTTTTAAATTATAAATAACAATGTAAAACATGATTTAATTTAATGAATGTGTTATAAATAATTTTATCTATGAACATATTTTTTGTATATGTGATATATATATATATCAAGAAGATATCTGTTTTTCTTTTTATTTATCTAAAAAATATATAATAACAACCGTAGTATATGAGACAAACATAATCATAATATGTCGTCTGGTTATCATCATATCCAGGTAAAATCTATTAATAATTAATTTTCTTTTTTTTTTTAATCTGGCGAAATAATTTTGCAAAAAAATATTTAGAGTATGTTGATTATTGATCACTTAACGACCTGGATATTTTGTTACAAAATGTAGATAGGCTATAAATATATCATTTAACAAATAATAATAGTTTATTTCATATACATATTTATTGAAGCAGAAAATTACTATTTCGAATAGAAAATTTTTCTTTGCTACTCGCACCAAATAATTATTAATATCTTTCGTAAAATTATTTTGCTTAGAAAAAAAACTGAAATCAATTATCTATATAAATATTAAAGATGTAAAAGTTTATGATTAATGTTCAATGAATATAAATAGTAGAGAAGAAAGAAATTACACGATTTGTTTTTTTATAACTGTCTCATGCTTGAGTTATGAATAATATTTAATCTCTTTTTTTCCTCTATGTCTGAATACGTAAAAATATTTACATTGCTTTTTATTATTGTAAAAAGTTAGGTGTACTTTGTCAACTACTCATCTAGATGAATTATGTTATGTACAAATATAAAAAAGCACGTGGAATCAATTTAGACTCATTATTTCAGAACATAACATCATTTTATTCTTTTTTTCTTCTTTCTTTTGTTTATGTGACTTGAGAAATATTCTTTGTTATTTTTCCTGTCACTCTTGCCTTAATGTTTAGCGTTGAATTAAGAATAGAAGAGAGGAGAAGAAAAAAAGAAGACATCAAGAGAAAGAATTAACCAGGCTACTACGACGAAGCAAACTCAACATAATGAAAGAGTGCTGGAATTATGTTGACAAAGAGTACGCTTATGTTTTTCTCGTATTTTATTGATGTTGATTTGATGATTAAAATTTAAGAAACTCATGTAAGTATTTCTTTTTATATGACATTTATATTTTCAAATAGTTTTTTATGAACAATTAGAATAATTTTAGTCTATTTAGAGTGACATTCAGTACATTTCTGGTATTGATGTCTGGTCATTCGATATATTTAGAATAGTGACATAGATTTTTGTAGAAATAAACTTTTTGATAGGAAATTAAAAATTAACTAGTTCATTATATGGTTGAATATTTGATTGCCTGTGTTTTTGAACGATGACATGCAAAATTTTTTAATTCTTTCAGTCATTACTTAACGCCATCTAGTATAATATTTTTTTAACAAATTTTTGACTATTTTAATTAATAATTTCTTTTATGATGAATGATATTTTTTTTAAAAATTATCCATGAAAATTAAGATAAAAAAATAAGCGACATCTATAATACATGTACAGTTGTATACATGTCTATAATATTGAAAATATTACAGACAGAAATCTGATGTTTTTATCTGAAATTTCATCATCTAAATATCATTTTCATTTACTCGATAAATATTTTCGTTGGAAATTTCCTTTTGAAAAATCATTCTACTTATCATTAATCAGTTGTGACAAAAATTAGTCTATTTATTTCGAATTAATATACTCAATTTGTTTCGATCGAATTATATATAAATCTAAAATTTTTATTTTCTTATTTTTTTATTTATCTTTCAATATTGTTGATTATTATTTTTTACTCGAATGAAAACCAATACCCTATGTTAAGGTTAACATCACATTAAGGTTTTTGATCTTTTCGCCTTTTCGACACTTATGTTTCTGTTCTTCCTTTTATTTTCTTTTTAATGTCCTCTATACATGTATTCGTCATTTTATTTTTACCTTACCTGCACAGGTATTTTTTTTTTGCTTCTTATTCATTTCATTTTCAGATATAAACATACGTTTTGAAAGAAAAAGACAAGGAAATAAATAACAAAACAAAAAATTAAAAAATAAATTCCTTTCTTTTATATTCTAGATTTTCTGTTTATTTTTTTTATTATTTTGTTATTATATTCTGTACTCTATGCATTGTCGAACAGTGATTTTCTAGTCTATATTTTTATTACAAAAAAAAACATGATGCATTCAACAAAAATTTCAACATCTAAACCGACTTCATCATCAACAACAACAACAAATACTGAACAGTATCATTATCCACCTATATCAACACTTCGTCGAGCTAGTCGACCAAGTAATATTGATTTATCCATTGTTGATCATAATAATACCCAACAAGCAAATGATCCGGGTATATATTCAGCACCAATATGTTATATAAAACAAACAAATAATCATCATCAACAACATATTCATCATTCATCTCAACCATATACAGCTACATTTCAATATCAACCGCAACAACAACAACAACAACAACAACAACAGCAACATTTACAATTACATTCACATCATCATCCTCAACAACAACAACCTAATCTTCATCTATATCAACAACAACAACAACAGCCGCAGCAACAACAAATACATGATCCATATTTACATCATCAACATACACCTCATACATTTCCATTACAAGCATCACCAAATCATTATCATCAATGTTTTTATTTCCCACCGTCAACATTACAAGTAAAATAAAAATAAAAGATTTTCTTTTCTTCTAATTTTTATTTAAAGGTTAATGTAACAAGTAATGGTCATCAAACAACGAATACAAGTCAACCTTCAACACCAACACATACTAATCGTCTACATTCTGTACAGATTCAAAAACAACAACAATGGTCAAATCCAGTCCTGAGTCCATTGATGGTCAAACGAATGAATGAAAATGTTGCATCGATATCAATGGATGATGATGAAGATCCATCAGCTTCAATTGATGCTCTTGTTGGTAAGTTATATTTAAAATTAAAGAAGAGAGAAGGAAAAAAAATACCATAATCGCTTATTCAAAATCAGTGAACCATGAATAATAACCCCGGTTTTCGTTTCTCTGCTTGGAAAGAAAAAATCTTGTTTTTATATCCAATCAAATTGGACGCTGTCATTCATATTGATACGATATAATAAATTTATTATTATTTTTTTAGCTGATGTTGATTCAAATTCTCAAGATATACTTGGTGATCAACAAAATAAATCTCTTAATAACTCGAAAATTACATCAACAACTCCAGCAGATACAAGATCATTATCACCACATTTATATCTTCGTAGTGCATCACATATATTAACAACTCCACCTAATCCACTTGCATCTGATGATCATCCTGATAATAAGTTACCTATTGGAAATAATTTTCAAAAAACTTTTAGTCCTTTACCAAGTGCTGGTTTTGGATTAGCAACGACACCGAATAATAATAATCTGAAATTATCATCAACAGATGGATCATTTTTCAGTTTTGATGGAAATATACCTGAACAAGTACATTTAAAAAATACGCATAATGATAATATTGAAAGTACGAATCAAGATAAATTAATTCAACCATTAATTATAAATCCAGATGTTCGAACAAAAAAACTTTCTTCGAATAATTTAATTCACGATGATAATAGTAATCATAGTTCAACAAATAGTAGTGGTCATAATACTTCATCAAGAATCTTTAGTCAGATGCTACAATCTTCCGGTAATTTTAAAAGAAAAACATTTAGTTTTTTAAATAAATTATTTTATAGAACAAAGAAGATCACCTTCTTCATCATCACCACTTTCAACTGATGTTAAATTAACATCAATAGATCCCGGTAATAATCAAACAAATACCAATACAATGCCATTACAACAAGGTCGACATACGTGTACACATCCGGAATGCAATAAAGTAAAGAAAAACAATAGAATAGTTCAGGAAATAGGAAATTTTCATTATTAACTGCATATTTTATTCTAATCTAATTTTTGAATGAATTCATTAGTCATTATATCATTGTCTTTAGATATTTGCAAATAAAAGTGCTCTGGCAAAACACAAATTAACGCATAGTCAAGATCGAAAACATAAATGTGCAAAATGTAATAAAGGCTTTAAACGACTTGATCATCTGTAAGTAAAATATATAAATAGTCACAATGAATTTGTGTTTTTTTAATTCAGTAATGGTCATATGTTAACACATGAAGAAGAAAAGCCACATAAATGTCGTGTACCTAGTTGTAATCGAACATATTGTGATGCTCGTTCATTAAAACGACATATTGAAAATAGTCATCAAGATATATTAGCTGCTATTCATGAAGGTGGACATGATGAATATAAAAGATTTTTACCTGAAACAGCTATTGTTAAAACAAAAGATTTATCAATAACTAATGAACTTTCAATTGATTCAGTTGATAGTAATTCTCCTCGATCATTAATTGATAATGAACAATCATTTAATATTCGAACATCAACTGGAAATAAAATTCTAACAACTTACACATTTGATGAAGAAAAATATGTTGAATGTCAAATTTGTAAGAAAACGTTTAAAAGTGGTGCTGCACTTAATGGTCATATGCGTTTACACGGTGGATTTAATGAAGTATATCTAAATATATTTTATTATTTGAAATGATAATATATTTTTATTTAGACACAACCAACACCGGCTTCAACTACTAAGACACAAAAACCGAAACATACAGCAACAAGTACAAAACGACCACGTACCAATTCACCATCAACTTCAATAGCAATTAAAAAAGAAGAACAAGATATTCCTATGAATTCATCAACGAATGATCTTTATCATCAACATCAGCATCATCACCATCAACAACAATCACCATTTTCAAGTGTATCATCACCTTTAGATGTTCATCAACAACAATTTTATGATCGACTGTCATCATCACGATCACGTTCAGTATCATCATCTGTTATTTCGAATTCAGCAACATCATTTCCTTCATATACAATTCAAAATCCGATGAGTGTACAACCACCAAACAAACAAATGCGAAAACAAAGTCCATTATCGATGCCTGGATTTGATCAATCTCGTATTAATAATTCAAATGGAATAATGCAAGTTAATTCAATTCCGAATCACCAGGTACTATAATAGATAACTACTAGATTACTATTAGGAAACCAATTGATACTATAGCAAACATAACACATATTTTAATAACATTATTTGACAGATTAATGAAGCATAGCATATCAAGTACCTATACTATTCTTTCATCGATCTAATATTTACTTATGTAAATTCTTAAGAACATTGAAATACTTTAGTTAGCAATCGAATTTATTATAACAATGACTTTTTTGATTTGATCTTAAATTTATCGGAAATATACGAGACTATAAAATTTAATTTAGATGAATGGAATGCATTCGCAATATTCATATCATCATCGTCCATCGAATTTTACACAATTTCAAGTAACTCCATCGTCATCCATGCCAACAACTTCATTATCAACAAATCTACATCATCATCTTCTTCGTCAAAAAACTGAATTACTCAATCAAGATTTTTATCTTCATTGTCAACCATCACCTTCATTAGGTGATCCTATCCGTTGTACACCACCACCACCTCCACCGACACAATCATATTTTATTCCTTCAGCTAGTGAAAACAGAACATAAAGTTTTTGCAAACACTTATTGAACAATTTTGTTTTTTTTTTCTAGTACCAAATTCAACTTCTGCAATCATAAATACGCCGGTAACATCACCATATACAAATCCAAATGCTAGTCATGTTTCACCATCATCTCCATTACAAATGCGCAATGATAATCATGTTCATACAATACCTAATAATGGCATGCAATTATCACCAGCTATGAAATCAACATCATCATCACATTCATCAATATCATCATCATCCTCATCATATATAACACCTAAACAACGTATTTTGAATGCTATTAAACAGGTCAAACAAGATGATCAACAACAAATAATTGTAGAACCTGAAGAAGACGAAGATGAACAAGCTTCATCAATGAAAATTGTTGCTGATCATGATAGTCCAATAAAAATAAACCCAATGTCAGGTTTTCTTATTGGTACACCATCATCTAGTAGTACAAGTTCATTATCATCTGCATCAAGTAATACACATTTTAATTATGATAATATTCTTCCACCAGTAATACCAACGAAACGTGAAAGTACTCCAAGTATATTTCCATGGGCATCACAATTTCGAAAACAATTAAGTATTAATACTGAAAAGATGGCATTAAATCCTATACCATCAACTCCATATACACCACCACCAATGTTAAGTCCATTTCGAAAAGGTCCAGGCCTTTATTATCGAGCTTTTTCTCAATCAGGAGAAACACCATCAATACCAACAACTCCTGCTATAACACCTGGTGGAGAAGATTCAACAGGTCCAAAAATTAATATTGGAAGAGACTATCAAGCAATTATACCTAAACTTCGAACAAGAATGGATGATTATACAGGTTAGTTATTACGTACTCGAATACTGATTGTATATATTTTCTTTGTAGAAAATGACGATGAATTATTATTTTCACCACTTGAATTAACATCACAAGATGAAAAAGCATTAGAAAAATTTGAACAATTAAATCAACTGAATCCATTTTTATTTTCACCACGTGTTTCACCAGTATCATATCCACTTGAATTAGTTTATATGTTATTACATGAATATAATGGTAATTTACAACGTACATTAGCTAGTTTACTTGAAGGTACAGCTAACGATATAAAACAATGTCGACCAATACATCGTTATCATTTTTCTGAATGTAATAATTGGACAAAAGAAGAAATTGATGCTTTTACAAGAGCATTACAATCGTCTGAAAAAAATTTCGAAGTTGTTAGTCGAGCAGTAAGTTATTCTTTTCATTTATTTATATATATATATATTTTTGTATTACAAAAAGGTTGGAACAAAAACTATAAAACAATGTATTGAATTTCATTATATGCCAAAAGTAAATATATCTGCACGAAAAATATTATCAACAGGAACAAGTTCTGTTATGACTCGACGAAGAAGATCTCAATTAATAAAAACTAAACAACAACAATTAGATGATGAAACATCTTCATCACCATTCAGTGAATTTAAAATAGTATGTTATTTATTTTATCATTTAAAATCGAATTCATTTCTTTTAGGATGATGATAATTCAATAATGAATAGTGATAGTTCATCTACAACTCAATTTACCTGTGATATTGATGAATGCTCAATGGTAAGAAAATAATGATTATAGAATATAGAATAATTTCTTTTGATTATTAGACATTTACAACTCAACGTGCATGTCGAGCTCATCGTAAAGAACATCGTCGAATAACTAACAATAATAATAATATGACAACATTGACAAATACAAAAGCGAAGCCGAAATATTGATTTGAATAAGTGAAGTATTCTTTTTCTGTATATACATATTCTTTTTTTTGTTTCGTATTTTTTTCAAACTATCAACAGTGATTAATTTTGATAAGACAACAAGACTCGAACAAACAATGTGTTTTTATGAGCACTTTACTTTCTATATATATATATGTGTGTGTTTATTTTGAAAAAGACGTTTTTTTTGTTTTTTCTTATATGCCTTATATATTTTAAACGCGAGAAGTAGAAAAACGGTGAATCGGATCTCGGTGTGCGTTTGTGTCCTTTTAGTCAGATCATTTATTTGTGTATGCGTGCGTGTGTGTGTGTGTGTGTATTAAGTTTTCTTTCTCTGCACTCTCAACTACATCTAAATAGATGGATGTAGTATAACATTTGCTTCTTTTTTTTTTGTTTTCTTTGGCTATAAGTGAAAGAAGAACAGCGTTTAGATGTGCTTTTTTTCTTTATTTCTTTCCCTCTCTTATTTGTGTGTGAGTGAAAGTTTTTATGTATAAAAAAACCGAAAAAAA